GGTAAAAAAATCGACATCACGAGCAACATTTTTGTTCTTTTTCTTGATTATTTGTTTATTTTTCCATGATACCAGCCATATTATTTACTTTAATTGTTTTGCTAGAGATTTGACATACGAGTTGACAATTCTCGCACAATTCATGCGGTAGTTTTTCTGAGGTCTTTATAACAATTGTGGTGATATGGGAACTTCCCAACAATTGTTCAATATGACATCTCGTATCCATACATGTACAAATAAAGTTATGGCTGACATATAATATTGCTTAAATGTTTTACTGTTAGATTAAAATTTAGTTATTCATTTATCATAGGCAAGTTATCTTGTCATAACCATGTCAACAGTAATGAAGTACTAGGATCCTGATATTGACATTGCTTATTTCTGCATGTAGTAACTGTCCTATCGAGGTATGTGAGTCTTGTAGTATAATCAGTTACCGTTTTATATAATATTCGCGAAAAGGAAGCATCATTTATAAAATGTAGCAATATTCCAGCAGCGCCTGTATATGGGATACAAGTCTCCCATTTGATAGGATATTCCAGAGCTTGCATTTCTTATCATGAATTCTTTCAAAAAAAGGTTCCTGCTTGCAAAAAAGTTTTTGAATCAAGAGTTCTAAGCGGTTAAAGTAGACATCATTCCTTCAGCAATTTTGTGGACGCCATCACAAGTTGGGTGATCGCATGATATATTGGTTTCAAAGAGGACGGTGTTTTTGATCAAATTGTCGAAATCACAATCATTCCATACTTTTCTCGAATATGACCTACTGAATAAGTGTTATCACCGGATTTGAACTTACATGAAGACAATGAAAGGTGTTCAATGCGGAGCATGATTTACCTACCATTCTGAGAAAATGAAATCAGCCCCGGTTTGTGTTAGGTTCGTGTTGCTGAGTCTTTTTGTTTTGAATGTTGTTTTTTGTGTACTAATGTCATATGTACAAATAAAAAGAAGAGGTTTAATTACAAATGAGACAACTTTCCATCAGAAACCAAATGACACAGAAATTAGCATCTAAAGTTCACAATAAGGCCTTCAGCAATGAACAAAACCCATGGCCATACATCATAGTATTACTTATGTTATTTCATCTGATCGGGCAGAGCTTACGTTTGAATTTGCATAAGGCCGGTCTATTCGAAGATGTGTGTGATAAGGATGATTGCCGTTATAACTATTATTACTGATTTCTAATCCCCTATCAGTACCACCAAACAGATATATAAAAGAACTAGGTGTACGATATGGGATGAATAAAATAGTTTGAAATTTATAGCATTTATATGGGCTGAAGCAGAGTATTTTAAAGTATCGGCTATGCTATTATTCTGTTTGAAACTTTTCTGATTATGAGATTTATTTTAAACGTGATCAATAAAAAAAATATATATATAAAAAATAAAAATATTTAGACCCTATAGTATTTTCCTTCCTTAAATATGTTCAATTCTATTTGCAACTTTCCCCCGTGCAACCTCCCCCAAAACATATTTGGAATATAAAGAAGAAATTTCAAAACGTTATAGAATATGTTTTTAAACGTTGCTTTACAAGAAAATCAACGGTTGTGTCTCACTATTTATTTAGCGAACAGATATATAGTATTTACATATTTTATCCGGATCAATGACCATAACAGTGATAACTAGACAGTAGACACTTCATTGATGAGTTTATCCCAAAACACCTGTCTATATATGGACTGGTCTATGATGAGCGATCTGGTTAAACTCCGCCCAGTCAAGTGAAATAAATCAAGTAATAACAATCAATGAAATACAAATATGATACATGTAAATGTATGAAGTTTGTTTGATATTTTTTTGTTATTTTTTTCTCGATCGCATTGTCAATTCTTTTCGACATGCATATCCCTTTTCGTACCTGCTGTCTCCTCTAAATATGTTTTCCCCTTGTACAGATGGGTGCGGTCCTAACCTGTACAAAAGTTAACTTGGAGGAGACTTGTTGACTGCTTTCTAAGTTCACTTGAGAAATTTTAAGCAGACAATTCGTATTATGATTTTGTATTGCGATAAGTCTTTGATATAAGGCGTCAACTGCCCTTTTTATATTCTTTTAGATTTATTCACTATGTGAGACTACTGTGTTTTTTTCTAAAAATGATCAAACGAGAAGGTAGTGTTCATTTTGTCTATTTAATGACACTAATTCGAAAAATTCGTTTTATGTAGCACAGTATGTCCTGTACCTCAGGACTAGAGTAAAATATTTGCTAGCGTGCTGACAATCTTTTTTTCTTTTTTTTTTTTTTTGGTTTAATCTGCGCCAATAAAACAAAAAAACTTCAGGCGTCCTTATCTCAAATAAATATTTCATCCGAATTTTTATACCTTAATAGGGCTGCTTTGTATAATTTTCAATTGATGTTTATTCCTCTGAGTATTAGTGAAACTCTGATGTCGGGTGTTCTATAAAGGGACCTTTTCAAGTTTACAAAAAATGGAACTTTGAAACACCCAATATATATGTTAATGTCCTAATATGAAAAATGTCTGCAATAATTTAGCTTAGTAAATTGTTTACAAATGCCAAAATCCCGGGAAAATTTTTTCTTCGCTTTTCAACATGAAACTTGATTTGAAGTATTTTAGTATTACAATAGTTATCAAAGGTACCAAGATTATAATTGAATACGCCAGACGCGCGTTTCGTCTACATAAGACTCATCAGTGACGCTCAGATCAAAATAGTTATAAAGCCAAACAAGTACAAAGTTGAAGAGCATTGAGAACCCAAAATTACAAAAGAGAGTTGAAAGATACCAAACAAACTCATCATAGATACCAGGATTGCAATTTTGTATTACAAAACATGCAAAAGACTCATTAGTGACGCTCCAATCAAAAAAAGTTAAAAAGGCCAAATAAAGTACGAAGTTGAAGAGCATTGAGGACCAAAAAGTCTTAAATGTTTTGCCAAATACAGCTAAGATAATCTGTTCCTGAGGTAGAATAGTCTCAGTATTTCAAAAATTAAATGTTTTATAAACATTTAATTTATAATTATGACCATATCAATGATAATTCATGTCGAAACAGAAGTGCGGACTACTGGGCTGGTGATACCTTCAGGAAATTAAAACTCCAACGGCACTGTAATCGACCCAGTGACTGATAATAAACTTATCATGAACCAGGATTGAAATTTTGTATATGCGCCAGACTCGCGATTCGTCTACAAGAGACTCAACAAAGACGCTCTAATAAAAAAAATTAGTTTAAACGACCAAATAATGTATGGAGCTAAAGAGCATTAAGGACCAAATATTCCTAAACGTTATGCTAAATACATCTAAGGTTATCTGTTCCTGTGGTAGAAAAGTCTTAGTATTTCAAAAATTTATAATTAAACCATTTATTTATTATTATGACAATACTAATGATTAGTCATGTCAATACAGAAATGGTAACTACTGGGCTGGTGATACCCTCGGAAAAAAAAAACTCGTCTAGTAGTGGCATCGACCCAGTGGTTGTAAATAAACTCATCATAGATACCAGGATTGAAATTTTGTATTTGCGCCTGTTGCGCATTTCATCTACAAAAGATTCATCAGTGACGCTCGAATCCAAAAAAGTTAAAAAGGCCAAATTAAGTACGAAGTTGAAGAGCATAAATGATACAGCCAAGCTTATATGTTGCTGAGGTAGAAAGGCCTTAGTATTCTAAGTTTTATAAACAGTTTATTTATAATTATGATCATATCAATGCTAATTCATGTCACCGCAGAAGGGACATTCATACTCAGAGGACAAAATTGAACTGGCAACGTCATGGCTAAATTAGAAAAAGACAAACTGACAAACATCAGTACACAAAACACAACTGAGCAACACGAACCCAACCACAAACCTTGAGGGGATTTGTGATTCAGGTTATCTGGTGCTTCAAGTATTTTTTGAAGTCACTTTACTATACGACACTATGATATGCTATACTTATAAACAAAGCAGATTTGCTTTAGTCAGTTAGTGGTATGAAGATTTTATTGAATATCAATTATTCATTAAAAACAAAGATTTATATATTAATAGAATTTAATAACAAATTCAGATTTAAGAAATATTTATATTCTATTTTATTGATACATAAAACAATTAAATATTGTGCGTGCCGTTTTTTTTTTTTTTACAGAAACTAAACAAAAAGACTATAGAAGAAATGTGTCATTCATTCCATAATAGTAAGAAATATAAAAAGAGTTATCGCTCTTTCAGTTAACACTATTAATGGAACATAATATGCTTTTAAAAGTTCTTGTGTATAGTTATAATAGGTAACACATTAATATACTTTAAAAGTTTTGTGACAGGTAAAGTTAGAAAATAGTAAAATTAAAATTGTTTGTCAAGTATATAAGTTTTTGTTATCTAGTGTTATTTGAGTTCATTAATTAATAGCATTAGCTATTCGAAAGCGAGATTTTTTATTTCTTTTTTTACACAACAAAACTGACAAAGTTTCCAAAGTTGTCAAATCAAATCAAACAGGCTATTTGCACTTCTTAATTGGTATCATAGTAAAAAATGCATTTAAAAACAAAAAATAAGTTTAATTTAACATTAACCATTTGAATTTTCACTTGACTGTTTGAATCAATAGATTTTCATTTGTAAGAGAGATATTTATATAGTTATATATGAATATGAATGTAAAGATATTGAACTATCGGATCATTTACCAATCGAAGAGAGTATTTACGACATATGTCATTTGTTTAATAGTAAGATGTTCAGGTTTTAATTTGTGTTTACAATTCTTGTAAATATTAGGCTATATTTTTTTATTTCAAAATTTACATCAAATATGTTACCAAAATGATCAAATTTGCCTCAAAAAGTAAAGAAAGTAGTTCTTATTATATTTTTACACACAAACTATTCAGGGTTGTTTTATGACCTTGACTACTAATAAATACTGTTCGCACAACTTAATGTCACGTGTTAGGTTTTTCAGTAGTCAACAAACAGCATTTGAATAACAAGACATGTTTTTTTGTTGAAGCTTAAAGCAACACAGATTTTTTTCAAGATTTCGAACTAATGTGTATTTATATTATTAGACAGATGCATTTACGCTATATATAGTAGTGACTAAAAGTGTGTTGTTAAAATCCGTAATATATTCATAAGTTACAAGAGAGGTGTATTGGATGTTTTGTTTTTTATTTAAAAGTGAAAGGTATGTATGATAACATTATGAAATGGGTATAAACATTTAATTCTAGATTGTTCCTATTTTTTTACTGATACGTATGAAATAATGAAATTGTACATGACGTGTTTTTAAACAAATAAAATAGAGAATGGAAATAGGGAATATGTCAAAGAGACAACAGTCCGACAAAAGAGCAGATTACAGCTGAAGGCCACCTATGGGTCAGCACTTCTGTGTTGACATGATTATCATTGATATGGTCATTATTTTAAATTAACTGTCTACAAAATTTTGAATTTTTTGAAACACTAAGGCTTTTCTACATGTTCTACTTCAGGACTAGATTACCTGAGCTGTATTTGGCAAATAATTTTGGATTTTTTTGTCCTCAGTGCTCTTCAACTTCGTACTTTATTTGGCCTTTTTACTTTTTTTTATTGGAGCGTCACTGATGAGTCTCTTGTAGACGAAACGCGCGTCTATCGAAAATACAAAATTTCAATCCTGGTATCTACGATAAGTTTATCTTTACCACAGCGAGAAAAACCCGTACCATGAGGTGTGCCTCAGCTGGCCCCTAAATAAAAATGTGTACCAGCTCAGTAAAAATGGACGTCATACTAAATTCCATATATATATATATAAAAACATATGAATTAACTAAAATTAAAAAAAAAAAACATACAAGACTCACAAAGACCAGATGCTCCTGACTTGTGTTTTATTCTATAGTATATACAAATATTTCAACAGACAAATAAGCAATTAGAAGATAAAATGCTTTTCTAGTCAATTATTATTATATTTGTTCTGATTTTTTTCTCTATAAATATATGATATAATTATTTTTGTAGAGATTTCTAAGTGCTGTATAAATCACATTTTGTTCTTAAAAATTAAAATTTGGAAATCCCAGATCACCAACCCATCCGGTATCGCTGTGGGTTTTGCATTGCTCGAATTTTGATGTTCGTGCAGTGTTTTGTAGACTCTTGGATTTTCCGCTAGTCTTCTATGTCAAGGTATTGCCATTGTGGTTTGTCCTGTTTGGTACATTTTGCCCATTTGTAGTTATTTATTGGATATCAAGATTTAACTTGTAATTCATTTTAACCAAAAAAGTATATTATGTCAAAATGAATTATTAGGATATAGGAACATTGCCAAAAGAGCAAATAGATGAACTTCATGGTTTTAGTGGGGTTCTGGCGCTATATGTATGTGTGTAATTTTAAGATATGAGTTGCAAAGGATGCGAATATTTTGTATTAATTTCTGCTTTTTTATTGAAAAAATGCAAACACAACATAGATTGTTAGTCAGTTGATCACGGTCAGTACAAATTAGGGGATACATCTCATTCTGTGATGTGACAATTAAGGAAAGAGGTATCGGATTGTGGTAACGACAGTTGGAAATTATCCGAGTTAATCTGAAATTATGATACATGTTAAAACTGTATATGCAATCAGTGTCAATGAACTCCGTAAAAGATGTAAAACTTCAACAGAACGACTTCAACTTTACCGCTTCTACCTCTTATTCAATTTTCATGCAAACAGCAAATCCCGTTCAAGGTAATTGTGATAGTTTACGCAAAATTTGTCAGATACTATCTAGAAAACCGTTTATAAGTTAATAATTGATTTTGTATGTGTTTGCTTACCGTCTAATTGAGTATTGGTGGATAAGAAAAACAGGTGGTATTATTTGTAAATGTGCTAGAATGTACCATATTGCAAACAAGTTAATCCGACTTTGAAGGAACACGTGAGCTCTATGACCAACGCATTGTTGTTATAATCAACTCTGGAAATATTGCACGTAATCCTTGACTTTGTATCAAAATCATAAGTAGTGCAGTAAAAGAATATAAAGTCACATCATTTTAATATGACCATGCAGACAATATGGCATAATCATACGGCATTTGGCAAATAAGAAACTGTTTATAAATAAAAGAAGATGTAGAAACTAATTGGGACGAGTTAAGCGATCGATCATATATTTATTAACATCGCATAATGGTAAGTCATATTTCTTACAGTTACGCCGCATCTGGTAATAAAATGAAATTGATTCACAATGTCGATATTTCATGTTAGCTGTTCTATAATAACATGTATGATAACAGACAAATACATGGCTAAGATTTCTTATCTGATCATATCCTTTTGATGCAATGTCAAATTTGCGTTTGATATTGGTTATGAGACATTTATTTTTTCCTGTTTATTCATTTCACAAGGTTGCGTTGCGAAATTACGAAAGGTGTCTACATGACTAACTAATTACAATTCAATCCTTGTTTGTCTTACACAAAGCTGTATTCTCATGAACCTAACAAAAATGAACACATCTGACTTCCACATTGTTCTAGTGATTTGATCACAAGGCGGATTTCCTTAGACTTGTCCATTGAGCCATGTGTATCAGTCACCGGGTTATTTCTTCATATTGACAAGACATGAACATAATAAAAGGCATTTTATTAACAGTCTATAAATAAACTCGACATAGATGTCAGGATTCAAATGTTGTATGGCAGACGCGCGTTTCGTCTACAAAGGAGTATTTAGTGACGCTCGAATAAAAAAAGTTAAAATGTCAAATAGAGTCTCAGCTGAAGAGCATTGAGGCCCCAAAATGGCGAATTGTTTGGCCAAATACAGCCAAGATAATCTATTCCTGGTGTAGAAAATCATTAGAATTTTCTAATTCGACGTTTTATAAACAGTAAAAATTTAATTATGACCACATCAATGATAGTTCACGTCAACACAGACGTGCAACATTCATTAATGTGTTGATATATTTGTTTTACTTAATGAACTCAAAGACCTTATATGTTTAGATTAAGGATATAATCCTTGTAGACTTGCACAAAGTTTGATACGATTTGATATCGTGAAAAAAATATACACGAATCATTTCCAAATTAGAATACACCTAAGTAACCTAACCCATCCTATAACTTATACCGCTGCATTAGACTGATGGTGGGGTCTTTACATTTTATACGTAATTGATCTTTCAATCGGGTAAACTATGGTATATTTGGTTGTTTAATTTACGCTTTTAACTAGCTTTCGGTTAAAGAGTAGTCAGTTGTTTTCATCTTTTGTCATTTTTGTTTTATTATAAAGGCAGGTCGTTTTTAAATCATGTTTATTGTAAGAACAAATGTTGTGCTGTTATTTCACTGTCCATATTCTATCATCATAAATCAAATAGTCAATTTTCAATTGACATCAATCAGGCTAAAGCAATGTGAAAGCACAACAAAGTTTAGGCTTAACATATGAGCAGACAGCTCTTTCTATGTGTTAAGAAAAAAGGGACAATCATTCTGGTTATCTTACATAAAACGATAACAATAAGTAAATGAATTAAAATAGATTTCTTTATACAATTTAGGTGGCTGATTAATCTTCTCTCAAATGGCATTAACATAAAGCATACTGGGTATCAGAGTTGGGAAATAAGACACCATATCCCTTCACTTGTATAATCTTCATAACTTTTAGAACACACCTGCGACATCACAGGTTCGTGACATAATTAAAATACTTACGCCTAATTTTTAGCCTGGATTTTTAATATTTGTATTGTCACTGATAAAGTCATGCTGATGTAAGGAGCAAAATTTTCTACTTTCAAAAGCTTTCTGTTTGAACCCGTCCTGTTTCTCTCGCAACTATATGGAAGGTTTGCTTACTGATAGTAAGACCCGTCACGGCCTGGCATCAGATTCGAACTGGGACTTGTTTTTTTAATAATTATTATATTAATCATGCGGAAAACAATAAGACCTGGAATGGTGTAGTATTTAATCAGCACCATTGTACAACATTAGTTATATATAAAGTTTTATTCTTTAAATTGTCGTTTTTACGTCATGCCGTCTAACACATTACACTTCGTTATTATAGTAGTATTGATATAAATTGACATTTTTTTTTATATCTTGTTTAGGCATGAAATTAGTGCTTACGGTTATGTTCTATATTTTTTTCGGGTGAAAATTATGAAAAGGAAAATAAAGATAACGAATGATTTGCTATGAAACTCAAACCGCTAAAAATTATGAAGAAGTATTCTCCTTTGTTCAAAAATTATCACTGCATGAACAGCTACCAAAAAGTAAAATAAGCAAAATACATAACTCAGAGTAAAATCAAAAATAAAACACATCAAACAAATGGATAATAACAGTCGTAATCCTGACTTGGTACAGGAATTTTCTTATGTAGAAAATGGTGGATTTTACCATTGAAGCTAGCTAAATCTCTAACTGTTATGATAGTTGCATACAATTCCATTATATTGACAACGATGTGTCACATTGTGAACAAAACAAACAGACATTATAGGTAATGATGTAAAAAAATAATGGGACAACAGTCAACATAGTGTTATTATACTAATAACTATCAAAACAAACAAATATGCTAATAAAGACAAACAAAAAGGAATATAGACAAATCACATTAGCAAAAACGATTAAGAAGAATACACAAATTCACAATAGCACAATAACACAATGACAAGATGTATAAGTATCGAGCCATGTCAAACGGAAGCTAAAATAGACTGAACAGTAAAAGTATTAATTTACACAGACAAACAAAAACAGTTTATTAAGATGATAAACAACGTCAGTACCTAGAATCTATACTTTAAGACCGTCGTGTATCATTTGTAAAACTCCAGTCATTCATCGTATTTGTATAAATAAAGGCAACAGTAGTATACAGCTTTTCGAAAGTCATAAATCGATTGATGAGAGAAAACAAATCAGGGTTACAAACGAAAACCGAAAGAAACACATCAACTATAATAGTCCAGCGGATATAAGAATAATTGATCACTTTATGGTAAAAGCATGAAACTTAGCACAATGAAAGGTTAAGGGGTATAAACAAAATTGAGATATGAAGCCACGACAAAATATCCAAAATGGCTGACATAAGGTACAGGGATTACAACATAAAACATATGATGAAGTATACCAATATGCAAGA